ATAATCTTCGACAAAATTGGAAAAAATATACAGTGGAAAAGACAGTCTCTTCAATAAATGGTGCTGGGAAAACTGGACAGCTCTATGTAGAAGAATGAAACTCAATCATTCTCTTACACCGTACACAAAGATAAACTCGACATGGATAAAAGACCTCAACGTGAGACAGGAATCCATCAGAATCCTAGAGGAGAACATAGGCAGTAACCTCTTCAATATCAGCCACAGCAACTTCTTTCAAGATATGTCTCCAAAGGCAAAGGAAACAAAAGCGAAAATGAACTTTTGGGACTTTATCAAGATCCAAAGCTTCTGCACAGCAAAGGAAGCAGTCATCAAAACAAAGAGGCAACCCATGGAATGAGAGAAGATATTTGCAAATGACAGTACAGACAAAAGGTTGATATCCAGGATCTATAAAGAACTTCTCAAACTCAACACACACAAAACAGATAATCATGTCAAAAAATGGGCAGAAGATATGAACAGAGACTTCTCCAATGAAGACATACAAATGGCTATCAGACACATGAAAAAATGTTCATCATCACTAGCCATCAGGGAGATTCAAATTAAAACCACATTGAGATACCATCTCACACCAGTTAGAATGGCCAAAATTAGCAAGACAGGAAACAACATGTGTTGGAGGGGATGTGGAGAAAGGGGAACCCTCTTACACTGTTGGTGGGAATGCAAGTTGGTGCAGCCACTTTGGAGAACAGTGTGGAGATTCCTTAAGAAATTAAAAATAAAGTTTCCCTATGACCCTGCAATTGCACTACTGGGTATTTACCCCAAAGATACAGATGTAGTGAAAAGAAGGACCATCTGTACCCCAATGTTTATAGCAGCAATGGCCACGGTCGCTAAATGGTGGAAAGAACCAAGATGCCCTTCAACGGACGAATGGATAAGGAAGATGTGGTCCATATACACTATGGAGAATTATGCCTCCATCAGAAAGGATGAATACCCAACTTTTTTATCAACATAGACGGGACTCAAAGAGATTATGCTGAGTGAAATAAGTCAAGCAGAGAGAGTCAATTATCATATGGTTTCACTTATTTGTGGAGCATAACAGATAACATGGAGGACATGGGGAGATGGAGAGGAGAAGGCAGTTGAGGGAAATTGGAAGGGGAGATGAACCATGAGAGACTATAGACTCTGAAAAACAATCTGAGGGTTTTGAAGGGGCCGGGGGTGGGAGGTTGGGGGAGCCAGTTGGTGGTTATTATGGAGGGTACGTATTGCATGGAGCACTGGGTGTGGTGCAAAAACAATGAATTCTATTACCCTGAAAAGAAAAATAAAATAAAATAAATAATAAGTGAAAGGATGAGAACCATATGAGCCTTTCAATAGATGTAGAGAATACATTTGATATAGTATAACAGCCATTCATGATAAAAACTCTCAACAAAGTAGGGATAGAGGGGACATGCCAGAACATCATGAAGGCTGTATACAAAAACAACAACAACAACAACAAAACACAAAACAAAACAAAAAACCAGCTAATATAATCCTCGATGGGGAAAAACTGAGAGCTTTCCCCTTAGAGTAAGGAACTAGAAAATTATATCTGCTCTCCCCACTTTTATTCAAGATGGTACTGGAATCATAGCCATAGCTATTAGATCACACACAAAAAATATAAGGCATGCAAATTGGTAAGGAAGAAGTTAAATGTTCACTATCTGCAGAAAACCCACTATATAGTAAACCCTAAAAACTCTGCCAATAAGCTACTAGAACTGACATATGAATTCAGGAGTCATGGGATAGAAAATGTGCAGAAATCTACTACATTTCTACATACTTATAATGAAGCAGCAGAAAGAGAATTTAGGAAAACAATCACATTGAAAATGATACCAAAAATAATGTTACTTTGGAGTAAATCTATAACCAAAGAGGTGAAAGATCTATCCTCTGAAAACTATGAAAACACTGATGACAGTAATTGAAGATGACACCAAGAAATGGAAAGACATCCATGCTTATGGATTGGAAGAACAAATATTTAAGAATGTCTATACTGGGGAGCCTGGGTGGCTCAGTCCATTAAATGGCTGACTCTTGATTTCAGCTCAGGTCATGAGGTCCGAGGATTGAACCCTGAGCTGGGCTCCATGCTCAGCAGGAAGTATGCTTGGGAATTCTTTCTCCCTCTCGCCACTCTCTCTCTCTCTCTCTCTCTCTCTCTCTCTCATAAGTAAACACACCTTTTAAAAAAATTTAAAAAGACCTAAATGTGAATTCTGAAACCATAAAAATCCTAGAAGAGAGTATAGGCAATGATTTCTCTGATATCGGACATAGTAACATTTTTGTAGATAGGTCTCCTGTGGCAAGGGAAATAAAAACCAAAATAAATTATTGGTACTGCATCAAAATAGAAAGGTTCTGCACAGCAAAGGAAACAATCAACAAAACTAAACGTTATCCTACTGAATGTGAGAAAATATTTGCCAAGGACATATCCAATAAAGTTAGTATCTAAAATATATAAAGAACTTACCTAAATCAACACTCAAAACCAAATAATCCAATTAAAATATAGGCAGAAGAAATATACAGACATTTCTCCAAAGAAGACATCTGAACATCCAGTCAGAATGACAAAAATTAATGAGGTAGGAAACAACAAATGTTGGAGAGGATGTGGAGACAGGGGAACCCTCTTACACTGTTAGTGGGGATGTAAGTTGGTACAGGCACTTTGAAAAACAGTACAGAAGTTCATCAAAAAGTTAAAAATAGAGCTACCCTATGATCCAGAAATTGCACTACTGGATATTTACACCAAAGATATAGATGTGGTGAAAAGAAGGGGCACATGCACCCCAATGTTCATAGCAGCAATGTCCACAATAGCCAAACTGTGGAAGGAGCCGAGATGACCTTCAACAGGTGAAAAGATAAAGATGATGTGGTCCATACATACAATGGAATATTATTCAGCCATCAGAAAGGATGAATACCCACCATTTGCATCAATATGAATGGAACTGGAGGTGATTATGTTAAGTGAAATAAGTTAAGCAGAGAAAGACAATTATCATATAGTTTTACTCATATGTGGATCATAAGGAATAACATAGAGGACATTAGGGGAAGGAAAGGAAAACTGAAAGGGGGGATATCAAATAGGGATACAAACCATGAGAGACTATGGACTCTAGGAAATAATCTGAAGGTTTTAGAGGGGAGGAGGTGGGAGGATGGGTTAGCCCCATGATGGTTACTAAGAAGGGCATGTATTATAATGAGCACTGGGTGTTATACACAAATAATAAACCATGGAACACTATATCAAAAACTAATGATGTATTGTATGGTGTCTAACATAACTTAATAAAAAAATAAGATGTCCAAATAGCCAACAGACACATGAAAAGATGCTCAACCTCACAATCAAGGAAGTGCAAATCCAAACTACAACGAGATACCACCTCACACTCTTCAGAATGGCTAAAATCAAAAACTCAAGAAACATCAAGTGTTGGCAAGGATGTGGAGGAAAAGGATCCCTTTTGTGCCTTTGGTGGGAATGCAAACTGTTGTAGTTACTGTGGAAACAGTAACGAGGTTCCTCAAAAAGTTAAAAATAGTGGGGCACCTGGGTGGCATAGTCAAATAAGTGTCTGACTCTTGATTTTAGCTCAGGTCATGATCTCAGGATCATGAAATGGAGTCCGGTGTTGGGCTCTGCACTCAGTGGGAGTCTGCCTGAGACTTTCTCTTTCTGTCCCTCCCCGCACTTGTGCTCTCTTTCTCTCTCTCTCTCTCAAATAAATAAATCTTTTTTAAAAAGTTAAAAATAGAAGTACCCTAAGATCCAGTAACCACACCACTGGGTATTCACCCAAAAAACACAAAATGCCAATTTGAAATGATACATGTACGTTTATAGCAGCATTATTTACAATAGCCAATATACAGAAGCAGCCCAAGTTTCCATCAAGAGGTAAAAGGATAAAGATATACTATATATACACACACATACACACATAGACACACAAATGCACAATGGAATATTACTCAGCCATAAAAAAGAATGAAATCTTGCCATTTGCAATGACAGGGATAGAGCTAGAGAATGTAATGTTAATTGAAGTAAATCAGTCAGAGAAAGGCAAATACTGTATTACTTCATTCATATGTGGAATTTCAGAAACAAAATAAATGAGCAAAGGAAAATAAAAGAGAGAGAAAGAGTCAAGCCAGGAAACAGTCTCTTAACTATAATGAAAAAGCTGATTGTCAGTAGAGGGGAGTCGGGTGGGGTGGGGGTCAAACAGGTGACAGGGATTAAAGTGTGCACTTGTGATGAGCACAGGGCAATACAAGGAATTGCTGAATCACTATAAAGTATATAGTATGCTGAAACAAATATAACAATGTATGTTAACCATACTGGAATTAAAATTTGAAAAAGAGTTGCTTTGACAGGGAATAGCATAGTTCAGTGTCTTATTCTAGTATCCTTACATCATGCATCGTGCTCATCACTGCTTCCTTTACATCCTTCAGGAGTGTTATTTAAACACTAAATAATTCTTCACATTTCATACAAGAGAATGGGTAAATGGCCATATCCCAGTTTATGGTTTTTGAAATTTCTTTATCTTTGGTCTATTAACTACGGAATGTCAAATTAAAATACCAATAATATGAGCAGTGGAATTTCACCAATGAGAAAAGCTTGACACATTAAAGTTAGTAAATTTAATGTTCAGGGTTCTAAGGAAGCAGGTCAATACATTTTCTGCTTGAGTACATGCTTATTGTCCTAATCCATTTGTCTGTGTTTAAGTGACATAAAAAATGTAAAATTACTCTGGTAAGTACTATAAAACTGCAAATTAATAGATTAGGTAAAATATATTATAACTTACTACAGAGTTTAGCAAGGGACATATAGAGAGAACAGCAGCAAGTATAACATTTTGTAAAATGTTTTACATTTAATTTTGGAAATAACATACCATTAGCCACATATCCCAGCTGTGGTATAAGTTGTTCATCTTTACAATTTTCCCGTCCTGGTACCAGTCTTTGGAATTTTGTAGGATGAGGATTGCCATCAACATCCACCAAGAATGGGGGAGGCATGAGGTGAGGAGCTTGTTGGGTTTGTTCATCCAGTACATAGTTGTTGGCATCACGGATAAGGGGTCGATAATCCGTGTGGAAGAACATCTGATCTGGAATCTTTATGACAGGTTTTAAGTATTTAACATGCACAGGGAATTAATTTTTATTCCTAGAGAGAATGCGTTTTTCAAATCAGACACTTTTTACATACTCTTATAGCCCTCTATTGCTTTGTGTTCCCTCCAGGTAGAAATGAATCACCTAAATGTTAATCTTATCTCTTCTCCACAAAAATCCTATAATCTGTATTACTTTCTGGCCCTATATGTATTTCTCCAATTAGCACATGAAGGAGAGCAATAACACAGTAGATAAAGTTAGGTATTTTCCCTTAAGTTGCAAACATCATACAAACTATTACAGCTATTTTTATTGCTTATTTATACCCAAGTAAGGATAGATGGGAGTATAATATAAACGGCAAAGCAGGTAAGTACCAAATACATAAAAAATACTCAAAGATGATATAAGTATTGAGCTAAACTCAATGATTCTGAGTTCTCTTCCAACTTTAAGAATCTATAATCTATTTCAAATTCATAGCTAATAAAATATAAAGAACCAATTAAGTTAGCTTCCAAAGTATTTTAACAAGATGACTAATAAAGTGGCCAAGCAAGAAAATTAACATTTGGTCACCAGCTGTTTATTTCTAACTTATGATGAGTTAAAAGATGCAATCTGGTAAAGTTGTTCTCCATTACACCCGAAGGGCAGTACAGAGAATATGTTCTAAGCCAAAGGATTTCCTAATGAATTTTTATATCTACATTACCCTATATCTTAATAGTGATGAAAACTGCCAAGCCTATGTTCTGGCAGTGATGAAAACTTTTATCAAGAAAGGTGACTTTGTTATTTTGTGTCTATTGACACACAATGACCCTTATTAACTGGAAGACTTGAAATAAAATTTATGAATTATACAATCCAAAATTAGAGTCTCTAACAAAAATTAAATAGACTAACCTTTTCATAGTATTTACTGCATCCAAAACCAAAAAGCAGCAAATGACCATGAGAGTCTGTGCAGGCAAAATGGTTTCCGTCTGGTGAAAATTTACAATCAAACACTGCACCATGGCCTTGGCCTTCAATCTGAAATTTAGAGGAGTCACTCTAAGTCATCTTTAAGAGGTAATTTTCAAATAATAAGTAGGCAATAGATTCAGCTTCCTAATATCTTGAAATCTGTGATGCATCAGCATTCCAATGTACTCTCTGGCTTCTGTAGCCAGAACCCTACTGAAACAGTAAAGCTCTGAAAGAAGTTAAAAAGAAGATATGCAATAAATGGTAAATGCAATAGATGGTATCAAACATTACTAGCATGGTCATATCTCAAGAAGTACTAAATGAATGACTGAGAATAAGAAAAGACCTAAACACAACCAAAATGACAAAAGTGCTATTTAAGCAAAGTCAAGATAATATCTTCACACCTTAAACTTTAATGCAACTAAGTCTTAAAATAGTCTTCCTAAAATTAAAGCACACAAATCAATTTTACTTAAAAACGACAAGGTATTAACACTCTAGAACTATACAAAGCCTATAAAAGAGAGCTCAAAGGTTGACAATTTAGAAATGTTTCCTCAGAACTATTCTTCAGAGAGGAACACGAAATATGGAGGATATGAGTATTCCCATTACCATACGAGGATGTTCTACTGGGAAAAGAGATAGCTCACCAGATTTTTCCATGGTTTGAATGAAATATATCTTAAGAGTATCTATACCTTCAATTCCATGTTTGCCAAACAACTTCTTGATTACAACTAAGCCATATGGGGTTTACCAGAAGCAGATACAATACAGTCACGATTAGGATTTACACATTGTGATTATTGTTTAAGCATTACACTTTCTGTGATTTTGGTTACTGCTAGCTCCAAAAGCTTACTAAACTTGAGTTTCCAGAATTAAGAGCTGGCGACAAGAATTTAGAAAATGCTAATGCCATGACAACAGAGTCACTCTGAAAGGTGTAACTCTTGATTGGCCTTACTCTCAGGTCTTGAGACATTCTCTAAGTTATTGTATGGAGTTAAACAAAGATGGCAGAGGTTCCTTGGCACTAAGTATACTGTAATTACCAAGTTGTCATATAAGAGATATCTGCCTTAATAGGAACTAAATACAGATTTTTCTTACCATGTTAAAATAATTCCGAATTTTGGTACCCCGGTCAAGGTCCCAAATAAAAATGTTCCCATCGTGACCCGCTGAAAGTATGATCCTTTGATCAAATGGATGTGCTTCTAAAACAAATACTTCATCATCATGTCCCTGTGATAAAAATCAATGTTAAAAATGAAAAGCAACACCAAGTATTTGGTTTATTTGGCCAAAAGTTCATGGGAGTGTACTATTAATCCCACTCAGATGAATTTATGTACCTCACAGCATTTACTACACGGTCACTACAAGAAATAGTTCAGTTAGAGTTCCTTCTATGTTTAGGTGCTGATTTCAAGAAATATTTAATACAGAAGACCCAAAAAGGGGTTTAAAGTGCAGTCCAAAACAATTACAGCTCATTAACCAGGCCCCTGAAATCGAATTTGTATTTCTATGACTCTACTATTTAAAAGACCCACAGAAAATGGGACAAACAGAATCTTTCATTAACACCCAATTCTGCCACAGAGATGACACACAAACCTTTACTATTATTTATGAAATTATTTGAATAAATCAAATTTATTCAAATTATACCTTGGAAGACCCCATGGTACATTCAAACAAAAAAGTATAGTGGAAAAAGTATAGTGGCTCTGCTCTTTTATCTACTTTATAGTTGAAGGTTTCATTTAACATGCTTTCTGAAAAATGGGTTTGCTGCTAAAAAATGTTTAAAAACCAATGGGTGGTTGGGTTATGGACATTGGGGAGGGTATGTGCTATGGTGAGTGCTGTAAAGTGTGTAAACCTGAGGATTCACAGACCTGTATCCCTGGGGCAAGTAATACATTATATGTTAATAAAAGAAAGAAAAAAAAAGAAAAGTAAACAACAACAACAATGCTCTCTATACATGTTTCCTTTACTAATGCATATCAGTAGATAGAGCCCTTAGATCAGGAGTCTGCAACTGTAGCCGGCAATCCAAATCTAGGTCCCAGACATTTTTGTACACAGTCCATGAGCTAAGAATGGTTTTTACATTAAAAGGCTTTGAAAAACAAAGAATATACAACAGAGACCATATGTGGCCTGCAAAGCCTAAAATACTTACTATCTAGACTTGAAGTAGTTTGCCAACACTTGAATTTAGATCATTGATAAGGAGAATACATGATTAACGATAGGCTCCAAGTCTTAGAAAAGCATGCACGACATAGTGAAGTGGCATTTCACTTAGGAACACATGAGCATATTACACAATAGGAGCTTTTAGAAATCATCATATAGGGCGCATGGGTGGCTCAGTGGGTTAAAGCCTCTGTCTTCAGCTCGGGTCATGATCTCAGGGTCCTGGGGTCGAGTCCTGCATCAGGCTCTCTGCTTGGTGGGGAGCCTGCTTCCCCCTCTCTCTCTCTCTCTGCCTGCCCCTCTACCTACTTGTGATCTCTGTCTGTCAAATAAATAAATAAAATCTTTAAAAAAAAAAAGAAATCATCATATCTTATGAACCTAAAAAGTACATTTTATCCCAAATCATCATATAAAAAATGGAATAATAGAGCACCCTACCATATCACCTTTATATAGAAAAATATAACTTATTAAAACATAACTGCAGACTGGTTCAAAATGTGTAGGTAAAATTCCATTGGAATAAATACTTTTACAACTGATAATCTACTAAAACTTTTTTTTCCCAGGGACCACTAAAAAATCACTTCGTTATATGCTAAATAATCAATCTGATATAACAAATAGTTTCTCAGGTTTCTAACAAGTAAAGAGTAAATTACTTTGTTAAACTCAAATGATAATGATACAACTATTTCACTGTACATTGGAAAATCAAAGTTTTTAAATAGGGGATTTAATGTGTTGGTCCTGTCATAGGATAGGACATAATCACTGGAGCATAGGGAACAAAACCTAACCAAATTCAATAATGTCTTAAGATATATCATCTGTCTTATTATTAATTAATTAATTATTAAGCACACATCTATTTTCACCACTGCCACACAAATCCAAATTATTATCATGGCCCATCCTACCATAGACTCCTACAGCATACCAGAGTCACTCTTATCTTCATTTCAATCTATTCTCTCTATTCTGTTGCCAGAATTATAGAGTATCCTTCAAAAGCAAAATTCACAGGTCATCCCTTAGCTTTTAAATCTTTTAATGGTTTTCTATTGGTCTAGGATAGATCCTATATGACACTGAATGGTCTGGCCTCTGTCCATTTCCCCAGTCCTATCTGGTGATACTTTCTGTTCTCTGTGCTCTAGCCAAAAATTGGCTTTCTTTCAACTCCCTTCTACCTGAAGACCTTTGATGTGCTTTTCCCTCTTCCTGTAGGACCTCCCAACTCTCTCACATATCTAATTTATCAAATATTTATTGATATCCTACCATATTGAGACTGAAAACAAAAAAATATCAGATACTGATAAATGCTATGATGAAAATAAAGCGAGGTGATAGAATAAGACAAAGACTGCAAGGCTACTCTAGAATGTTTGATCAGGGAAGGCATTGTCAAGGAGGTAACATTCAGGCTGAGACCCAGGTGAATTCTATCTATCTTTCAAATCTTAACCCAAATTGAACTTCCTTAGGAAACCTCTCTGACCCTAATTTGACCAGGGTCAAATAGTTTTAGACCAGGTTTGGTGACCCTATTAGAAACTTGCATTGTATTTTGCACTTCTTTTCTACTGACCATTTATTTTAATTAATTTTTATGTGGCTTTTCTTGTTATTTTTATTTTTTTCTTAAAAGGCTGTAAATCCCAGGATGACGGGAACTCTCTAATTTACTGTTTATTCCTAATATCTAACTCAGTTGCTGGCACACAGTAGATGCTCAGTAAGTATTTGCTGAGTGGAAGAACTTTACACTACACTAAGACCCCAATAAACAAATTGTTAATACAGAAAAGATAAATATCAAAACTAAATAGATTTGACTGTTACAAGGACTAAAAATAAAATACTCTGTTCTAAATTTTTTTAGTAAAATTCACTAAAAACAGATGACCCATGAATCAACCCATGGGAGGAGTACCACTAAACAAAATTCTAAATTAAGGTACTTATTAAGACAGAATTTTACACATATCTATAAAGCCAGTGGCTATGACACAAATTTTGAAATTGTGATTTTGAGAGATACAGACCTGTGCTGTCTCATATGCAGTTAGCCCCATGTGGCTATTAAGCATCTGAAATGTGGCTAGTCCAAATTGAGATGTTATGTAAATATAAAATACACACTAGATTTCAAAGATTTTGTATTTTAAAAACAGAAAATAGTTAATAATTATCATATTAGGTACATGCTGAAATGCTACTATTTTGGATATACTGGGTTAAATGAAATATATTTTTAAAATTAATTTCACCTATTGTGCTTTACTTTTTCTGTTGCATCTACTAGAAAAATTATTATATATGTGGCTCATACTTTATTTCTACTGAAGCATGCACACAGATGAACATTTACTAATGAAGAATCAAGCAAATCGTATATATTTTTCTACACATAATTTACAGAAACTTCTATCAGGGAATAGGGAAAGGCAGAAGGGGATAAAAATTGGTTAAGCAAATTAAAAAAAGAATCTAAAACTCCATTAACACAGTGTTAGCAAAGAGAATTGGGAGGTATATGGAAATCCTCCCAAAATTAAACAGATCTTTAGAAAATCTGACATAGGAGTCAAATAAGGATGATACCATGGTATACTACAAAGTGAATTGAGTCAGGAGAGCTGGATTCTAGTCCTTATCACTTAACTGCTTTGTAAATCGTATGGCAATCATTTGGCCCTGTCCTTAAGTATCTAGGAACTGATAATTGAAACAGATAGGAAATAAGGCTTTTTTTTAAAGATTTTATTTATTTATTTGACAGACAGAGATCACAGATAGTCAGAGAGGCAGGCAGAGAGAGAGGAAGGGAAGCAGGCTCCCCGCTGAGCAGAGAGCCTGATGCGGGGCTTGATCCCAGGACCCTGGGATCATGACCTGAGCCGAAGGCAGAGGTTTTAACCCACTGAGCCACCCAGGCGCCCCAGGAAATAAGGCTTTTAAGTGGTATTTAACCTGAAGTGCATGATAAACCAATAATCAACCCCACCTACCTGACTTCTGTTATTAATCCTATCTTACTACAACAAATACATTTTTAGAAGAGGAAAAACCACCTTTTCTCTTACTTTTTCCCCTTACCTCTACTTCTTGCATATATGAATCCCTGAAAGTAGAACATAAAGGAGGCTCTTGTCAAAATAAAGTTAGCTCTACCCCTAAAACAATAATAACAAAAATCCCAACTAATGCTAAAAACAAAATAACTTACATATCCTTAAATGCATTTTACAAAATAAATAATTACCAGACCTCAAAAGGATCTTGAAATGTTTTCATATCTGCTTTTAGCAGCTATACCATGTGCCATCCTTATTTTGTAGATACGCCAACAAAGGTAATTGAAATATTTACTTCTCCAAGGGTTAGTAAGTCATAGAAAGTAAACTAAAATTTAAATTTCCTGTCTTCTGGAATAATGCCCTTTTTGATCAGTTTAATTATTCCAAAAATACTTACAGATAAAGTATGAAGAAGTTGCCCTGTGATAGAATTCCATACTTTCAAAAGGAAATTGTTCACTGCAGTAATAACTGTGGTGTCATAGCGATCCCAGGCCACCATAGTCACCTTAAGTTTAGTGACCTTGTCTTCTCCAGATGGCACATTATTCCTAAATAAAATAATTTGCAGTATTCATACACTGTAAATTACTGACAAAGGTATATCTAAAATAGCAAATTATGGAAAAAAAAAACCTCTCTGGTAGCTTGCAAATTTTTAGATAAAAAATCCTAAACTATGCTTTTAAGTACTCACAAAATAAAATAATAAAAAGTATCTAAGTAGGGCAAAACCCATAAGCTTATGTTACGAAGACAGAAGACACAAAATGACAAAAAAATTTTTTAGTTAGTTACACAAGAACAAAAAAAGTGAAACTACAAAAAATCTATAATCCCTTGAAAAATAAAATATAAGGTCATGTTGGCTACCAGAAAATATGAAGAAAACATAAAATGGACACTTGATTCCCTTAAGTAATACATTTTGAAACTAACAGATCTTGTAAAAGAGAAGCAAGAAATTCATTAACTTTTAATTTAGTTGAACATGATAAGAATTGCTGGCTATTGTCAGTTCCATATTGTTATTAATGGGAAGATAATTGGTTCCAGAGCCTTACCCTATAGAAACTGTAATGTCCTAAAGATGTAATCATGTATCTTCCAGTCAACAGGGAAGAGGATGAAACAGAATGCTGATTAAGTGTACTTATACTATCGAGTAGGAATGCTAACAATATGTAACATTATAAAGGTAACCCCAGTAAGACATAAATAGTTAAGCTTATGATGACATTTGGACAACCCTCAAAGTAGAAAGTAGTATAGACAGATATTAAAAATGACCTATAGAAAACTAAGGCAGAAAATAACTCTGTGGGCATTAGCAGAGTAGAGCTCTTTGGTTCACAAGAGATCAGAATTTTGAATGACTATTAATGTTTCTATCATACAGTCTGTCAACAGCAAATGGCAATTTACTTAGAGACTAAATATAGGTGTTATACTTCAGGTCTACCAAAGAACTCTAAACTGTTTACTAATCTAAAAAGAGATTTTCATTAATGAAATATAATTCAGTAAATCAAAAGATAGTATACCATATGAGAACCACTGAAATATCTAACAGCCAATCTTACCTAGTCATTTTAGTAGCCATATCTAGCACTATACTCTTCCATTCTTGTTGCTGATATTGCCAAATTCTTGCTGTTCCATCTCTACTTCCACTAACAAATCTTAAACTGCAGAGAAACAGTGAAAATACCCTTATTATTTTTTTCCAAATTAGAAATCACTTTTTTTTTCAATTATGAAAGTAATACGTTCATCCCCATATACTACTGGGAGGAATGAAAATTATACACTTTGGAACACAGTTTTGCAGCTCCTCAAAATGATAGAGTAACCATATAACCCAACAATTCTACTCCCAGGTATAAATCCATGAGAAACCAAACATTAAGTCTACATAAAAACTTGTACAAGAATATTCATGGTATTATTCATCACAAGCCAAAAAGTTATAACAATCCAATGTCCATCAACTAATAAAGGGATGAACAAATTGTGGCATCCATACAATCAAATATTATTCAGCAATAAAGAGAAATGAACTAATGATACATGCTGCAACATGACTTAATCTTGAAAACAATATACTAACTGATAGAAATCAGTCACAAAAAATACACTGTATAATTCAATTTATTTAAAATCTCCAGAAGAGGCAAATCTATAAAGATAAAAACTGGATTAAAGGCTGCCCAGAGTTAAGGGTGGGCATGTAAAGATATTGGAGAGTGATAGCTGAAGGGTATGGAAATTCTTTTTGGGGTGATAAAAATGTTCTGAAATTGATTGTGGTAAAGGTTGCACAACCCTGTGAATATACCAGAAAACACTAAAGTTATGTTATTTGTATTATATCTCAATAAAACTTACAAAAATACATTCATTCACCCATAATTTTATCACTGTTTATACTTTCATTTCTATTCCACCAAACTTAATTAAAAACATACATAAACACTTATCTATTTTCCCCTACAGGAAACAGAATTATACTACATATAATGTTTTATGTTTTCCCCAAGGGTTATTTTATAGATGTATCTCTAGGTTTATAGAAAACTACTGTCACTTTTAATAAGTACTCAGCTATATGGATGCATAAAAATTTATTTAATAACTCCCTAATGAAAATATTTATACTATTTCTATTCTTCACCATTATAAATAATGTTGTGATGAATATCTCTATATGTATCTTTGTACAACCTTATACATATCTTTGCTGAGTCAAATGGTCAGCACATTTTTAAAGCTTTTGATGAGTTATTTGCCTCAAAAGTTTGTTTTTTTTTTTACATTTTACTATCTCTTAAAAGTTGTGGGAGAGTGAGTGCCCATTTTTCCTAAACCCTTGGCAATACTAGGTGCTAACATACTTTAATATCTTGTCATTCTGAAAGAAAAATAAATGTTACTTTTATTCTAAACTGCATCTTTATTAGTAAAATTGGACATCCTTTGTTTATTGTCCACATAACTAATGAAGATAAAATAATGTTTTTCCTTTAGGGAAAAGGCAAAGAATTAAAAAACTTCAGATTCCCCTAGCATGAAAGAATCATAGCTGTACAAACCTTCAAGTGTATACCTCAGTATAGTGCAATAAATCAACCTCAAAAAATTATCTGAAGGTTTTCTCATTCCTAATATAAACTTCACTCTATGTGGACCATCATTATTTACTCTTGCATTTAATAAAGATGAACAAATTCATCATAGCAATCACCCACTGTCTGAAAAATATTTAAAAATAAAACATGGTCAAAAAATTAAAAAAAAATAAATTTAATTAACATAAAACATGGTCACCCACATAAAGTTCTTATAGAAATATATGGATACACATTTATGTTAAGTGGTTACATTTTAAAATCTATTCTAGGTTAATTTTTAGACCAGGGCAAAAAGATTATCAACCTTTTGGGATCAAACATTTGAGAGGGTGCACAAATACCTGTACGTAATTTCTGAGTTTACAGATACAGGAAATACATATCATATGAGTAAGAGAGACAATAAGTAAAACAGATGTTCAAAGGAAGACAATATGGATAAAATCTGGAGCAGTCAGAAAAGGGTTCAGGTAGAACATGGGAAGATAGGACTCAGAAGAGAAAGGGACTCGAGGGAGAAGAAAAGCAGAGTAAAGGAAAGCAGAAGGGAGAGGGAGACTGTAGGAGGGAAAGAGAAGTGAGGGGGAGTAGGGGGTGATATTTCTGGTTAAGAATGGTGTGAGGTAAAGTATAAGCAAATCAATGAACAAGAGAAAAAATACAGATATATGGATGTAACAAGAGCAATGATTAAGTCAATTAGGTTAAATGTAATGATTTATATGGGAGATAGTAAATGAGAAAAGAATGTAGGTCTAAGTTAAGTTATAAAAAGTTCTGAATTCATAAGACATTTGAATTCTATTCTATAGACAAAGAGGAAACACTAAAGATTTCTGAACAGAGCAATGTGGATCTGGCAAAAATAGACAGGATATATTTTGAAAGGAGAAGAAAACTGGAGGTAATGGGTTAAATAATGGAATGCTTGGCCAAGGTGAGTGATAATAGAAATGGAAAAAAACAAAATAAACAAAAAAGAAATCACTCAGAAAGGAAGAACTGATAAAGTATGGCTACTACTTGGATAGGAGTTTAAAAGAAACTGGGTAAGGATGTCATCAAAAATAGACAAGGGCTTTCAGCTTAAGAAACTGAACAGAAATAAAGTACTACAGTAGAGGGAGCTACTTCTGAAAGAATAGAGGTAAAATATGTCAAACATCTGTTTACACAGATATGTACTACATAGTTACCTGTCTCCATTGTTACAGAACTGAACAGCAACAACTTTGTCCTAAGACATAAAACAACAGATTTTTGGTTAGAGTTAATTTATTTGTAAAATAAATAAAGTACTCTTCCCTTCAAATTCACATGCAAAAGCATCATGGAGTAGACTTTTTAATGCTATAATTTTCTCAGAAAAAAACTCCAGCTTTCTTAAAAAATAATTAATGAAGGCTGAAACAATGCATTGACTGAGGAGGAATACTTATTAGCAGTAATTTGAGACAAACCAGAATAAGCAAACCTGTTTCTAAATCATAATCTCAAGAGACAGTTTTGAATAGATATTAGTTTTTATGTCCCCCATAATAGGAGCACACTAACCTACAACGTGACCTTAAAGTAACAGACTTAATAGAAGTTGAACTAATTTTCCCACTTATTTTTTTTAATTTCAGAAAATAAATCAATCATTTCCTGTTTCTCAGATGGATTCTTTATTTAACAAAGGATTCGTCTGTCTTTAGGTATAATATTTCAGATACTGCTCTTTGAATCTTCTTTTATAATGACTAAACTAATGACTTTTACGAATATAATGTGTATTATAGTGATGAAAAGATTAAAGTATAAGGCAGAATATGCATTTTTCTTCTCTTTATTCCTTGGTAATAAAGCTAAAATGTACCCTCAAATGTTGTACATATTTTCACAAAACACTCAGTTACTGAACTGCATTTGAATTTTTAATAAGAGCTCAGACATTAAATATTTTTATATTTATTTTTCATTTTTAAAAATTAAACTGTCTTCATATGTTCAGAGGTATATTTACACTGTTCCGTGATTTCACTATAGTATTTATTTGACAGATTCTATATTCTCACTGCCAATTGCAATAACTGGTTTTAAAAAAAAAAATAACTGGTTTTAGATGTTCTGAAAGTACATCTTATTTTCAGTGACTAATAGTAGCCACTGACTTCAACAGGGAGTATTTAGGCTTTCTGACTTTGTCGTAGCAGCACCCTGGCAAAAAAACGCACAAAACTCTACTAATCAATTTTTCTTCATCTTTCCCCCAACTCAATTCTTGCCCGTTGTTTCTACTACCACCTTTTCACTCAGCTCTCAATAAACTTGACTGCACTTGTATACATACCCTGCTTGGGTGGTAATTGTAAAGATGCCTCCTTTGCATACTCTAGTACAAATGGATTTCTCCCAATGGATAGTCTCAGATTGAGATCTTTATATATTTCCTAAGTTTTTCTCTTTCACAATTTAAATAATACTCCAGGATTTTAGTATCTAGGAATAAGTAACAGCAAGGTGAGAGCTCAGCTTGGTTCAGTAATGGTTTATAAGTAACTGTTCAGTTATGTTTATGGGAGAGGACAAAACCAGGAGATTGTTTCCAAAAGCTCAAGAAGGTTTCTAACAGGTCTCTTTTATTACAAATTTCAGGAACATGACTGATTTTGTAACTCACAAAGTATCTTTTTCTAATAGTGATGATTCAGGGAAACTGTGTGTATTTTGTTGATGTGCACTAATACTATTCCAAATGAGAGGTCAATAGTACTGAAAACAGTAATCTTAATTAAGACTTGCAAAGCTGAGTGCTTTCAATTGCTGACTATACAGCTTTGACAATAAGGTATATGAGGTGTACAGTGAGCTGAAAAACAAGTACTCCCATATTCCACAGTGAATAATTATCTAGAGAAAAAGGTAAGGAAAGGAAGAGGAGAAAGAGATGAAAGGTACACAGAGATATGAAAAAAAACATTACTGGCGCCAAGCTTCCTAAATAAAGAAAGTGGAAATAGCTTTGAGGAAAAGGTCCAGTCACCAATGGCTGTCACCCAGGCATAAAGCTGTTCCCTGCTGTTGTTGATAACTAAGTAGGATTAGATTTCAGGAGTCTGTGATGGCATTCTGAAAATAATCAAACTAAAATCAACAATCTAAATTAGTAAATTATTTTTTTCCTCAAGATATACTTAATATGTCTTTTATTATTTGAGGTAAAATGGGCATACAGCATTATATAAGTTTCAGCTGTAAATATTATAATTTGATATTTGCATAAACTACAAAGTAATCACCACTGTTAGTTACCATCCACCACCATACAAATAAGCTCTCTCACCCATCCCCCAACACACTTTCTCCTCTGGTAATTATGGATCTGTGTATCTATTAGTTTCTTTTTGTTTGGTTTGGTTTATCCATTTGTTTTGTTATTTTAGAAGCCATATATAGTAAAATCATGTTATTTGCCTTTTTCCATCAGATTTTTCACTTAGCATAATACCCTCAAGATCCATCCATATTGTCACAAATGGCAAGATTTCCTTATGTGTGGCTGAGTAGCATTCCAGTGTGTGTGTGTGTGTGTGTGTGTGTACCACATCTTTATCCATTCATCCATGGATGGACACTTAGGTTGTTTCCATATTCTGGCTACTATAAATACTGCTGCAATGAACATAGGGGTGCATATATCTACTTGAATTAGTGTTTTTGTATTCATCAATAAAGACTCAGAAGTGGAATATCTGGATCCTGCGGTCATTCTCTTTTTAATTTTTTGACAAATCTCCATACTGCTTTCCATAGTGGCTACACCAATTTACATTTACATTCCCACCAATAACGTATAAGAGTATCTTTTTCTTCACATATTCCCCAACACTTCTTACTTCTTGCCTTTTTGATAATAGCCATTCTAATAGGTGTGAGATGATATCACATTGTGGTTTTCATTTCACTGATAATTAGTGATGTGGAACATGTTTTCAGGTGCCTATTAGCCATCATTATATCTTCTTTAGAAAAAAAGAAAGTGTCTATTTAGTTCCTCTGCCCATTTTACAATTGGGTTGTTTTTTGTTGTTGAGTTATATGAGTCCTTTATATATTTTGGATATTAACCCCTTAATAGATAAATTATTTACAAATATCGTTTCCCATTTACTAGGTTGCCTTTTTGTTTTATTGATGTTTTCCTTCACTGTGCACTAGCTTTTTACTAAGAAGTAGCCCCATTTGTTCATTTTTGCTTTTGTCTCCCTTGCACTTAGAGCCAGAATTTTTTTTAAAAATCACTAAGACCAATGTCAAGGACCTTACCAGTGCTGGAGAGGGTCTTGAAAAAGATACGACCACCAGGTTACCTGGGAGCTGGACCCCAGGCAATTACAGGCTCCTTACCCTCTTCCCTATCCTAGGATATACGTTCCACTTGCCTTTCCTGCTCCCAGAGGCTGCTCTAAGGACACAGCCTTGAGACGATGATGTGATACTGAGAACACCTGCACAGTATACTTGAATGAACCCAGTTAAGGCTTCTTTAAGATTTGGTGGGTAGGTTGGGGGCACCTGGGTGGCTCAGTCAGTTAAGCAGCTGCCATCTGCTTGGGTCATGATCCTGGTCCTGGAATCGAGTCCCGCATAAGGCTCCCTGCTTGGCGAGGAGCCTGCTTCTCCCTCTCCTCCCTGCTCATGCTCTATCTCTGTCTGTCTCTCTCTCAAGTAACTAATAAATAAAATTAAAAAAAAAAATTTGGTGGGCAGGCACAAAGATCCATTCATCCTACTGCCACCCAAAACAAACTTCATGTTTAAATTCCCTTTGCTAATTAAAACTACCACCTACCAACCCAGAGTGGACTACCTCTTTCTTTGGTCTTTCCTTGCCCTCTGTGTATAGCGGTCAGTTTCAGATTATAGCTAAGAAGCTCGCAAGAGGGCTGTAAAGACAATTGGCAAGCCAGCACAGAGACCAAAGAAATGGGCTTTGGGAATGAGGCATCCACAGGAAAAACCCCAAATTAGCCATCAACTTCTTTGTAAGGAAATGTGGCCTGTATTTTAGATGCCTATGGACTACTACATGAATATGTGGACACCCAGAAAATGTCAGCCAATCTAAGGTAAACTTGGAGGAAATGCACATACCACACTGGGACAGAGAAGGGAAACATGGTTGCTATAGTGGGCTTCTGCTGTGGGTAGTTCAGCTGGCCACTGATGCCCAACTAGAGGCTGAAGAAAGTTAGAAGAGCTGAGTTTAGAAAAGGAGAAGTGAGGGGCACCTGGGTGGCTCAGTGGGTTAAAGCCTCTGCCTTTGGCTCAGGTCATGATCTCAGGGTCCTGGGATCGAGCCCCACATCGGGCTCTCTGCTCAGCAGGGGGCCTGCTTCCTCCTCTCTCTCTGTCTGCCTCTCTGCCTAATTGTGATCTCTCTCCCTCTGTCAAATAAATAAATAAAATCTTTAAAACCAAAAAAAAAAAAAAAAGAGAAGTGAGTTGGGGGAAATTGGAGGGGGAGACAAACCAAGAAAGACCGTGGATGCTGAGAAACAAATAGGGTTTTGGAGGGGAGGGGTTTGGGGGGTTGGGTGAGCCTGGTGGCGGGTATTACGGAGGGCATGTATTGCAAGGAGCACTGGGTGTGGTGCATAAACAATGAATCCTGGAACACTGAAAAGAAATAAAATGAAAAAAAAAAAAAAAAAGGATATGTGACTGTCCACTACTCTGCTAGCTCTGGGGCTGGCAGACAAGATGGAAAAGGAAAGTAATAAATTGGAGACCTTAGTGTCCTGTTTTACAAAGCAAAGAGGGTACAATGTATTAAGATATGAGAACTTATGAGAAAGCCTGACTAGGATGCTATGAGGTGGAATCTTACAGAAAACGATGAAAATGAAGAGGAGGATGCTATGGTAATTGATGAGGAAACAGACAAAATGCCCCATACCTTCTGACCCCTACTTTTAAACAGCAATTACCCCAAAACTCCTAGGAGAAAACTTACATCTTTCTCTGTCCCCTTAAGTTTATAAATCTTATCATGTCTTTGAAATATAAATACCTCTGGAGATAACAAAAACATTGCCAGAAAAAAAGGGAGGGGCTTTTAAGAATACAGCTATAGTTCTCTTGTCCATTGCATAATAATGAACCCTCATCAAATCAAACGACCATTTTTAGTTTTCTGTCATTTGCAGTTACTGTTTTGCTCTGATGCTTTGCAAAAAGTGTCCCTACAACAGT